AGTGGGAACCAAACGGTTCAAGGTCCAAAAGAGAGTTTCAGTGCAGCTTTAAACGACACCAGATGATGAATAACGGTCTTGTCTAGCGAAATGATTTCAAAAATAAATAAAAAAGTTTAAATTTTAAAAGCACAAATGCTCGCCTTGCTCTGTTCTGTGATGAGCGTTCGTGACTCTCCTGTTCAAACTCGTTCATCAAAATGAACAAATCTTTTTTTCGAGTCATGACTCGAAGGGTCCTAGACAAGACCCTTATTCATCGTCTGGTGTCGTTTAAAGCCCTTTGAAGCTGCACTGAAACTCGCATTTGGACCTTGAACCGTTTGGTTCCCAATGAAGTCCATATATGGAGAAAATCCTGGAATGTTTTCATCAAAAACCTTAATTTCTTTTCGACCGAAGAAAGAAAGACGTGGACATCTTGGATGACATGGGGGTGAGTAAATGATCTGCAAAAGTTTTTTAAAAAGTGAACTACTCCTTTAACTCTCTAAAATAAACAAAGTTAATTCTCTCAGTAGTAAGTCATACATAGCACACACATGTTTTCTACTTTAAAAGTTTATACATTATACAAGATTAAACATTCTTAAAAGTTTTCATAGGTAATTAATGCCCGTTACAAGAATATATTGTAATATAATTCATAGCTCCTTGTGTCTAAATCAGTACAGAAGGGCAGAAGCTTTGAGCTCCTGGTTGCAGATGTAACTCTGCCTGACAGGGACGGCCTCATGCCGGGGATTATGTAAGGAACCCAGCCGTGAGCCATAGCGCTGCTCTATAGAAGCTTCTGTGACCCGGGCCATCGTTAGGGATTAGATCAGAGACAGAGGGCTTTAACACACTTTCTCCACATTCATTCAGCTCAAATCATCACAAACTCATTGCATGTTGGTTTAAAGGCATTCAATCAAATAGTGAGGAAAAGGAACGAGAGTGATTACAAGAATGTTTTGAAAAAACAGGCAGATAAGTTGTTTGTTATGGGAAATATTAGAAATGTAGCTTACTAGTTTATTTGGCTATGTTTTTTTATATAATTCTTAATATTTTTGAATTTATTGTTTATATATATATATATATATATATATATATATATATATTACATTTTATTTTATAGTATAGTATATTTTATTTATTTTTTGTTTTTTATATTATATAATATTTTTATAATATTATAATTTATGTTTGTTATAGTTTGCTTTTGTTATTTTATTTATATTATACAATTATAATTATTTTTATATAATATTATTATTTAGTTTTACTTATTTTTTTGTGGTGCTGCAGCATACATAAAGTTAATGTTTGCGTGATTGCTTTTTAAAATGTTATGGAATATTAATAAATAATTATGCACAGGACGTTACTGCATGGATGATGCATGCTTTTAGCGTCCTCTTTACTAGCGTCCTTTTGTGACATTTGAGTATTGTATGGGGATATGCCAATGATTCTTAGTACTGATAATCCAACAGCCGTTCCCTCCCTCTGTCTCTCTTCACACTCAATCTCTGCTCCACGCTTCAGCTTGATCACGTACTCTCGCTCTCTTCCCCACCCCCACCTCTCTCTTTTCAGGGGATTACATGGAGAGATGGCGTGTACGTTTAGCACATCTGTCACTCCATCCCACCGTGCTGTGCAGTCAATCCAGAACAAGTTCACTGGACCTATAGGAGTTCAAGCGGTCTCAGCTGCTTTAAGACACTTTGGATTTATTTATTATTAGTGCTAAGTGATGTTCAGGTTATATTTTCATTTTACCTTCATACTTCCTGTATAAATAGTAGTTGTCTTCCAAGGCAACTGTATTGTCACCTCATGAAAATTTAAATCAAGGCCTTTGTGCACAACAATCCACTCTTTAAATGGCCTTTCCTTCAGGAATAATTAGTTTTCACCATGATTATGCTTCCAATAGACTCATAATGGAACAGTTATTGGACTGTTTGAGGGCACAATGGTGCCCTTATTGCTTTAAGTGTCTTCACCTTGGACAGGCAATCTCAGCTCAGTTGTGACGGTGTCAGAGCTTTAATATGAGATATCGCCTCACGAGTTGTTTGTGTATCAGGTCAAATAATGATGCAGTTTGACTATTGTTCCACAAAAGAAGGACAATAATTGAAATGCAACATGAATTGACCTGATTCTTTGAATTCATCAACTGTGAATAATAAAATAAGTTTGTAGGTATCCCACCTTTACCACAGGACAGTCATTGTGTCAAAGCTTGGAAGGGAGATAAAAAGCATCTGTGTTAATTTACAAAGGTCATGGGAGGTCAAAGAATCAAAGATGCTTACTGTGTATTGTCTCAATTGCTAATAACTGGGCTATTTCTTGCAAACTCTAACAAGTTATGCTTGTCTTGTGAGAGAAACAGCTTAAATCAGTCTGAGGTACACCACCATGTGTCAGAGCTTTAAGAGATATTTAACTCAACAAAATGAGAGCACAACATTCAAGAGATGTTTTGTAAGAGAATCGTCAAACTGCATCACAAATTGACCTGAGGAACTTGTCAACTGCAAATGACGAAACCTTTTGGTAGTTTCTTTCAGTTTATGCTGCTCCATGTGTGAATGCTATGCTACATGCTAATTGCTACTTGGTGAATTCAATGCCTGGTATTAGCTGTTCTTTGTTTAAACCGCGCAAAATGTAACAGCTGAACAGTTTAAAGTTGTGTGCTTATCTTACCTGCCACCGGGTTGGTCAAGTTTAAAGGATTTTTTTTTTTAAAGTTTGTTCGCTAGTCAGTCTGAAGATCAGCTAAGCTAAATAAGTTGAACATCAACACTTTGAAGAACTAGACCACCTGAAGTCCATCTTGGCTAGTCTGGAAGACCAGCTAGAACACTGAAGACCAGTTTGGCCAGTCTGGAAGACCAGCTAGAACACTGAAGACCAGTTTGGCCAGCCTGGAAGACCAGCTAGAACACTGAAGACTAGGTTGGCCAGTCTGAAAGACCAGCTAGAACACTGAAGACCAGTTTGGCCAGTCTGGAAGACCAGCTAGAACACTGAAGACCAGTTTGGCCAGCCTGGAAGACCAGCTAGAACACTGAAGACCAGTTTGGCCAGTCTGGAAGACCAGCTAGAACACCAAAGACCAGTTTGGCCAGCCTGGAATACCAGCTAGAATACTGAAGACAAGCTAGAACACCGAAGACCAGTTTGGCCAGCCTGGAAGACCAGCTAGAACACTGAAGACCAGTTTGGCCAGCCTGGAAGACCAGCTAGAACACTGAAGACCAGTTTGGCCAGTCTGGAAGACCAGCTAGAACACGAAGACCAGTTTGGCCAGCCTGGAAGACCAGCTAGAACACTGAAGACCAGTTTGGCCAGTCTGGAAGACCAGCTAGAACACTGAAGACCAGTTTGGCCAGCCTGGAAGACCAGCTAGAACACTGAAGACCAGTTTGGCCAGTCTGGAAGACCAGCTAGAACACCAAAGACCAGTTTGGCCAGCCTGGAATACCAGCTAGAATACTGAAGACCAGCTAGAACACCGAAGACCAGTTTGGCCAGCCTGGAAGACCAGCTAGAACACTGAAGACCAGTTTGGCCAGCCTGGAAGACCAGTTAGAACACTGAAGACCAGTTTTGCCAGTCTGGAAGACCAGCTAGAACACCGAAGACCAGTTTGGCCAGCCTGGAAGACCAGCTAGAACACTGAAGACCAGTTTGGCCAGCCTGGAAGACCAGTTTGAACACTGAAGACCAGTTTTGCCAGTCTGGAAGACCAGCTAGAACACCGAAGACCAGTTTGGCCAGCCTGGAAGACCAGTTTGGCCAGCCTGGAATACCAGCTAGAATACTGAAGACCTTTTAGGCCATTCTGGAAGACCAGCTAGAACACTGAAGACCAGTTTGGCCAGCCTGGAAGACCAGCTAGAACACTGAAGACCAGCTAGAACACTGAAGACCAGTTTGGCCAGTCTGGAAGACCAGCTAGAACACCGAAGACCAGTTTGGCCAGCCTGGAAGACCAGCTAGAACACTGAAGACCAGCTATAACACTGAAGACCAGTTTGGCCAGCCTGGAATACCAGCTAGAATACTGAAGACCAGTTTGGCCAGTCTGGAAGACCAGCTAGAACACTGAAGACCAGTTTGGCCATTCTGGAAGACCAGCTAGACCACTGAAGACCAGTTTGGCCAGCCTGGAAGACCAGCTAGAACACTGAAGACCAGTTTGGCCAGTCTGGAAGACCAGCTAGAACACCGAAGACCAGTTTGGCCAGCCTGGAATACCAGCTAGAATACTGAAGACCTTTTAGGCCATTCTGGAAGACCAGCTAGAACACTGAAGACCCGTTTGGTCAGTCTGGAAGACCAGCTATAACACTGAAGACCAGTTTGGCCAGTCTGGAAGACCATCTAGAACTCTGAAGACCAGTTTGTTCCCATTGGGAGACAAACTAAACCACCAGAAATCCATGGTAAGTCTTTTTTTTTCTAAATGCTATTTTGTGTCATGTTTAATAGCCATTATCTATTTCTCTTGAAACATCTCAACAGATAATTGTTGAAGAACGAACAAAGCACTTCCTGGATGTTTGCTATGTATAAATTTGCAGCTCCTCGTCTTCGTCCACATCCTGTGAAACAGATAAACGGGTTTGTAATCCTGTAGCTGTGCTTCTTTGGGCTCAGAAGGGGTATAAATGGAAAATCTGGGAACTAGCTGCATTGGTCAGTCCCTCATTAAGTAATGTGATTAACAGTCAGTGGGTGGATACAACAAATGTGACGTCAATGGTGGACGCCAACCTAATCTCCAAAACACAAAATTCATAGTTTTCTCTCTGATCGGTGACGACTACTGATATTTTTTTCTCCAGTTACAGCTTATGATTGATAAATTCACTGTGTTCTTTCACTTTTATTGTGTGGAAAAGAGAAAGCACACAGCCATCTGCCTCTCAGAGTAGACTGCGGTATCCTAATCCAGATTATGGCTCCACCATAAACGTTTTTTTTTTTTTTTTTTTTTGGTCCCCTGGCCGCCATTTCTAGTCAACAGTGTGTCCTTGATAACAGACAGGCAGGTCGGTTAGCCTAGCTCCAAAATTAGACCACCGACAATCCATCTAAGGGACGTCTCTACTGGAAACTAAGGAGTTTAACCAAAAGAGTTCAGGGAAGCACAATTTGACGTCAAGCTAGAGACTCCAACGGGGTAAATAATGGCGTTTTTAATCAAAAGTATGGTTGGGAACCCACTGAAGGGAATGGGACTTGGAGGAGGAGAGGCAAAAGCTGAGGAAGAGACCCCCAAGGACCCCGCAGCGGCCGCCGGCATGACTAGAGAAGAATATGAGGAGTACCAGAAACAAGTAGTGGAGGAAAAGTAAGTAAAGTTTGGGCCTCTCTGGCCCTATTTGTGCTTATTTATTTCTCCTGTAATGACCTTGACAAAGTAAGTGGGGGAAAAAATGGATATGGAATCATGTTTTTAAGGTTTAAATATTTTTGGGAGATTGTTTGGTTCTTAGTAAAATTAATGTATTTATCCCAATGACAACTATTTAGCCAGTCACTTTTGGATCCTTCTTCCGTCCTTAAAGGTGTTGATGCATTACAGAAACACTTGTAGGCTGTTTAAATGTTTAAAAGCTGCAGTGATGCAAGCTTATGAATCTGTCATTCTCCATAGTGATGTATTCATGCTAAGATCTACACCTGAACTATCTCTAGGTGTCAAGATGAGAACGTCAACGATTAAAGACGAACAGACTACATGTTGGTATCAGAGAGTAACGTCAGATGCTAGTTGCTAATCAGTCCTGAGAGCAGAGCTTAGCGTGGGTTATCCTGGCCTTGTTGAGCTGGATAATGCTATTTTTAGAAACAATCAAAGCATTGGGGACTTATGAACCTCTGCATATTTCAAATCTCCCTTCCTTACTTTTTTTGTGTTTTGTTAAAGAGACAGCTGATATTTAAAGATGTGCATTAGTGTAACAAGTCGGTGTTATCTTTAAAAAACAATCTTTGATACTGAAATTCACAGTATTTATCATTCAGCGCTGCTCATATGGGAATGTGGTTAAATAACCAGATTACATGGAATGACGCTGCACATTCTGGTTATGAAAAACATTTGGAACCAATCATGATTGAATTTTTATATGTATATATGCAAACCAAATACGTTTAGAAGAAAAGAGCTTTTTTTGTGAAACTCAGATTTAACACTAAATACACTGTATGTGGTTCACTATTTAAAATATTTATATTTAAGTTTATTAAGGCTGTTGCCTTTCGTATTGGGACAATAAGGAGATTTTCAAATCATAAAAAAACCTATTGCCAGTTTAATCCTAAGATTTGATATTATTCATGTTCATGTAAGATGAGATAACAACTAGCATCAGCAGGCTCACTTAAGTAGAAATATGAGCAGGTTATAAACAGATGATTCATACAATAAACATACGTGTCTTCTGTGAGATTACATCTAAACATCTAAAGATTTTTGTGTAGCTTCAGATCAAACATCCAAAGGATTTTATTATCTAGATGTTGCTGGTAAACTAGCTTTGCTTCAAGTGTAGTCGCCACACTGCCTGAACAATACCATAAGCATCCTGAAGCTCTTTATCTAGAGTTAAGCTGCAAGCTAAACCCCAGGGGTCATTTCATTCTACCGCCGGTGTTCTGGCACGCACATATTTTTAAACAAACTGTTTGTGCAATGCATGTTCTCCCATGAATTATACATGTTTACCGGTGGTATGTGTTTTTTTAACATGAAAATCATAAGATTAGTATACACTGTACTACATAGTGTAATCATCTCTTTTTTTTTTTTTTTTTTGTTATTCTGTTATTCTTTGCATGTGATGATGTGTTTTTAAAATATTTCCACAGAATGGAACGAGATGCAGATTTCTTGCACAAGAAAGCAGAGAGGGCGACTCTGAGAGTTTGTCTAAGAGAAAAATACCGGCTTCCTAAAGTAAGAGTCACTTTGCCCCTTCTTTCTCAAATACTTAGTCGATGTTTTTCAGTTGACAACTCTGATTTTTTTTTCATCATCAGTTTGTAAGATTATTTAAACGCACTACAGTTTGAGATTTTCTGTCTTACTCATCAAGGCTGCATTTATTTAATCAAAAATATACCAAAGAAAATTTTGAAATATTATTACTGTTTTCTATTTGAATATTTTTCAAATGTAATTTATTGAATTTTCAGTATCATTACATCATTCTTCAGTCACATGATCCATCATAAATCATTCTAATATGCTGATTTGCCAAGCAAGAAACATTTATTTTTATTATCAATGTTAAGAACAGATGTGCTGCTGTGCAATATTTTTGTGGAAACTGTAATTTTTCTTTTTTTTTTTTTTTTTGTTGTTGTTCAGAATTCTTTGAATAGAAAGTTCTAAAGAACAGCATTATTATTTCAAAAAACATGTCTTTTACTGTCACTTTTGATCAATTTAATGCATCCTTGCTGAATATAAATGTATCAAAAGTGTTAAAATAAATAAATGAATACTGATGCCAAACTTTTGAACTGTATGTAAAATGGAAAGTCTAATGTGTTAGATGTGTTAGACATTATTATACAGTGCACATAAACTGTCCTTCAGTGTGACATGGATTTTATAGTTACTGTAACAAATATATATTGGGTTGAATGTAATTAATCTCTAGAATTCCTAATTTGCATTTGGCTCACAGACATGCACATATACATGTATTTTCTCCCATATATAGATGCTTTGTGTGGCTCTGAGCTCTCGGCACTTCCAATAAATAAGCTAACCAGATTAAGAGAGTGAACTGAGGTCTACACAAGCCTCCAAAAATATTGGTTATCCACAACATCTGCTCGTCTTTGTACAGCTTCATTTTCTCTCTGAATTCTTCAATATGTGATGCATTAATGCGAAAAGGCTAACATTGAAGATGCTAGAGTCTAAAATGTCTGATACACTCCTCTGAAAACGGAAAATTTTTACTTTTTTTACTTCGTCGGAATGCTTCGAAACTTTGTAAATGTTTTGGCACTTGCTATGCGAGTGCAAAAAATAATAATAATAATGGATATGATTCGAAAATGTAAACAAAACAAAAATCACACTTGTACTCCTTGTGGTCAAAATGGCAGCATTGGAAAAGAATGGGAAACTAATTTCATCTTGGAATGGTTTGGTACTTCACAAAATCACCACTGTAAAAAAAATATTTCCATGATTTGTAATCACAACTTTTTTTCTTTTGTCAAATCAATTTAAATTATTTATATAGTTCAGATAACATAATATTTTGAGTTGATGATGATTTAATCAGTCTCCTTCATTGTATTTAAACTCAAATTTTCCATTTCAATGAACTTAAAATTTTAAGGCAGCCAGGTTACTTAATTTAAGTTAGACCAACAATATTTTTTCCAGTGATGATCAATGAGTTGTGACATGTGTTTTAACATTGCTTTAACTCATCAAAATAAGTATTTGACTAATTTTTAAGTCTGTTTCATGTAATTTAAGTTGAAATTACTTAAACATCCAAATTGATTGTACTTAAATATTTAAGGCAGCAACACTTTTTTTTTTAAAGATATACCGAAAGCTCATTTCTTTGAGGTGATGGTCTAAAATTTGTAACACAAAGTTTTTAGATGTGTGGGTTTGATTTTCCTTACAGTTTTATAGTAAAAGTGTTTTGGAAAATATATATATTTCATAAAAAAAATGACAGTAGTAATTTTCGAGCTTCAATTTCTACTCCTTTTTTCTCTTCAGCAATAATCAAAATTTAACAGTTTTATTTGGAAATTACATTTTCGGGTTTATGCTCAGTGGATAACATGTAATAAATGGGATATAACTACTGCATAAATATAATTTATTACCATAAAATTACCTAAAAATGCAAAATATTCAATTAAAACATTATCAAACTAAAATAGTACATTCATTTCATTGGAATAAAATACAATATCAGTCATTTTTGAGGGTTAAAAATAAAGGTTCTTCATCGATGACTCCATGAAGAACCTTTAAGAACATCCATTACACAAATTGTTCTTTATCAATGACTCTTAATGAATTAGTAAAAGTAACAACATGACTTCTGTCCCCGTTTGACTCCCTTTGTGTATTCCCCCCTCAGAGTGAGCAGGATGAAAACATGCTCCAGATGGCAGGAGATGATGTAGATGTTCCCGAGGAGCTGCTGAAGATGGTGGATGAGGATGCCACAGAGGAAGAGGAGAAGGACTCCATCCTAGGGCAGATGCAGAACTTACAGAACATGGACATGGATCAGTTAAAAGAGAAAGCCAGCGCTACACTGACGGAGATGAAGTCCAAGGCTGAGGAGAAGTGTTCTGTCATGTAATGATTTAGCAAGTTCACACATTTCTACAATCCAGGTCTACGTTTCCCAAAAGCATCATAATTCTCCACCATGCTTTTGAGAAACACAGCCCAGGTCTCTTTTTGAAAAAAAAAACACATCTTCATTTTCCCTCCGCATTGATTTATTGCTGTTCAAGTTTCAGTGACGCTTTACAATAAGCTTTCATTAAAGGGATCGTTCACTCAACAATGATTAATTACCCTCATAAGTGTAGAGAGTAGTTGAAGAGTTCAGATGCAAAAGCCTCTAAATGCCATTTGAAATTTTCTTCTAAAAGGACCATTTTTATCAAGCTTGTATATTTAAGTTCAGTAATTTCACTTAAATGACAATTAATAGGTAATCTTCATTGCCATTTAAGTGAAATCACTGAACTTAAATATACAAGCTTGATAAAAATAATCATTTTAGAAGAAAATTTCAAATGGCACTTAGAGGCTTTTGCATCTGAACTCTTCAGTTTTATTCACATTTAAACAGGTTCATTTGAGCTTCTGTTTATGTGAATGTGAATAAAAGCCTCTTTATGAACTTCTTGAAGTGTCAAAGTTGTCTATGGAGGGACAAAATCTCTCAGATTTCATCAGAAATATCTTTAATTGTGTTCCAAAGATGAACAAAAGTCTTATGGGTTTGTAATAAGGGTGAGTAATTAATGACAGAATTTATTTTTGGGTGAACTATCCCTTTAAAATTAACTCTTTATTTACATAGATGTATAAATTAAGTTAACCATAATACCAACAATTACAAATACATTTTTTAAATCCTAAATGAGAAAAATCGAAACAATTTAAAATCAAGTGAGACCTCATTGTAAAGTGTTAGCAAAGTTTAATTATAACACAGTCACCCAAGTTTTTAATTTCCAAAGCTGCATCTGAACTTTTCAGCTTCTCTGAATGTCATTTGCTTGGCCCCATATTTTGCTGTTTCGACTTTATTTCTTTTGTATGTTATGTTAATAAATGATGTTGTAGGCTAGTCTTTTCTCTTTCCCTTTTCTTTTGTGCATATATTTACCTGTAAATATATCTAAAAAAAACATATAATGACTTGAACCAGAGGTGGTGGAGAAGCTGTTGAATTCTCCTTCCTGCTTTTTTGCACAAGGGTTGAGATGAATGTGAGGCTGTTATTTCTTCTTTTCTTGATGGCAGACCATCTAGCATTGGCGCATATGATATTGTAATGTTTATTAGGATTCTTTAGTCTATTAAGTTACGTATGTGGTATGTAACTTTATAATGTGAGGTAAATAGGCATAAATATGATTAATGTCTCATGTGTAAACAGATTAAATCGATGAATAAAACAGACGATTGATAAACTATGCATTTGTGATCAAAATAAGTCATTGTCTGTGAGATTTTCTCATTATAATGTCAATGTTTTAGCGTTACATGCACAAGAATACAGCCAAATCCAATAAAAAGGGCCTGAAAAACATTGGTTTGTTTACCAGATGACAAGATGGGAGAAAATAAATATTAAATGATTCATGGTTCATGGTTCTTAAAAAAGAGCATATTTTTGAAGTTTTAATAGGATTATACAAGGTCGATAAGACAAGTATTCCTTCACTAGACATAACTATGGCAAGCCGTTTTAGCTTTTATTCATTTCCAGGATATGAATTCTTGATATAAAAAAAAATGTAATTCTTGATATCAACAATTTAGTTGCTGATATCTGTAGTTGTGTTTTCACTAGTGAAATTTCACCATAGGCTGCCATTCAAAATAAATTGTTGGTATCAAGAATTGATTTTTTTACTAGTAGAAATATCATTTTTGATATGAATAATTACATTGTTACTAGTAAAAATGTGAATTCTTGATATCAATAATTAAATTGTCACTAGTTGAAAGGTCTATTCTTGATATCAACAATTCAATTGGTACTAGCCTAGTAAAAATGTAGGCAACTGAAAATATTGAATATTATTTCACATATCTAAAATGTCTTTCTAGCCACAATCACATTCATGATATCAGAAATTAACATTGTCACTAGTAAAAATTAAATTATTGATATCAAAATGAGCATTGTTACTAGTAATTCAATTGTGGATTATCAAGAATAGACCTGTTAACTAAGAACAATTGAATTCTTGATCTCAAAAATAAAGATTTTTACTAGTAATAGTTGTATGAAATCAATTCTTGATAATTGGTTTTGCAAGGCAGCCTATGGTGACATTTCACTAGTGAAAATACAATTCCAGATATCAAGAATTAATTTCTTTATATTAAGAATGTAATTGTTGATATCAAGAATTGAATTGTAGATATCAATAATTCATATCCTGGAAATGAATAAAAGTTCAAACGGCTTGCCATATGATAACACAATCTTGTATGACCATATTAGTGGAAATTTGCACTTTAAAAAGTTGTCATGCCATTTATAATAAGATAAAGACAAACCAAAAAGGTATATATACAGTATATATATGAAGAGTTCAGATGCAAAAGCCTCTAAGTGCCATTTGAAATTTTCTTCTAAAATGATCATTTTTATCAAGCTTGTATATTTACGTTCAGTAATTTCACTTAAATGGCAATGAAGATTACCTATTAATTGTCATTTAAGTGAAATTACTGAACTTAAATATACAAGCTTGATAAAAATGGTCATTTTAGAAGAAAATTTCAAATGGCATTTAGAGGCTTTTGCATCTGAACTCTTCATATATTTACAAAAAAACATCTTATAATTGCCTACTTATAAATACTTATATAGGCCTACTTTCCCTTTTCTGTAAATATCCTTCTATTAAAATCCTATCCAGAAAATAATATGAAAGACTTTTAAGATAGATAGATAGATATAGATATAGATATTATATTTGTTGTTGTTGTTTTTGTCATAAACGCGTTTGATTGATTTTTCGTGTGTGTGTGTGTGTGTGTATCTTTGAATAAATCTCGGAATACCAACATTATCTGTTGTAATTAGGGAAAAGCCAAGCGGTTGAAAGGATTTGGCCTGTTTTGGATAGAGGGGGGAAAGTGTGTAATCCCCTCAAACCAGCGTGTGTCCTGCGGATTATCAGACTGCTGTCAATCTTTGTTCGGAGCTAATTACACGTATCCATTCAATATTGAGGAAGTTTGCAAATTCTTCCAATTAACTGCACCTCAATTGTAGGCCAGCTCTCAGGGGTCGCGCGCTTGCTGCTTGAGATCGCGTTTTGTTCATGTAACAAAATCTCCTATGGAACCATGCTCGAAGTATAGACGTAAAGTAGTTTTTATCGGTTTAGACTGTTAATTAGGCTTCTTAAATGTTTGATCACCAAAACGTATGATAGCTAAATTAGATCCAAAAGCTAAATTTTCTAATTCACAGGCTATTCCGAGTATACGCATATTATTCCATTCAGGTTTAAAGGATTTCAATATTTTGCTGTTCACAAACATACTTTAAATATAATCTTAAATCTTGTATTGGAACTTGTAGGCTATTCGCTATGAATAGCCAACTTTGTTATTTTTGTTACTATTTTATTTTTAGTGGATATCGCCTCAACAGTAACTAAATGTATAATCTGCTAAGAAAGCCATGAGTTTTAAATGTAGCCTAAATGTTTTTTTACATTATTAAATGTCTGCTCTTTGTTTAATTTTTGTTTTGTAAAGCGATTTAAACCCATGTTTAAATATAGGCTATGTAACTCTTGTTGTATAGAAATTCCATTATCATAATAATTTCATGTACACTCTAAAAAATGCTGGGTTGTTTTAACCCAATTTTGGGTCAAATATGGACAAACCTGAAATGTTGGGTTAAAAATGTAATGTAAAAATTTAACCCAACGGCTGGGTTAGTCCATATTTGACCCAAAGTTGGGTTAAAACAACCCAGCATTTTTTAGAGTGTAGGCAAAGAATAGGTCTCCTTTATTTTAAACATTTTATAAGGGGATCATTTGAATTCAAAACGTCAATCAAATAAAATAATTCCGCTTTTACTGTCACCCAGCTGTGATTTTCACATGATAAACTTATCACTTTTAGCCTTAACTGTAAGCTATGCCTGACACTGGTGCTGACATAGCCTATACAACTATTTCGTTGCACATGCACTTACCAGGGAGCGTTTTTGTAAACTGACGTTTTTAATGTTATTTTGCACGTGCAGAGATTTTTGTAATTATGATCTGTTTCGGCCTTAAAGATGTAATCCAGCCCCAGTTCCTCTCATTTCTACAGGCCATCATGGTCAAGACATCTGGAGTGGGAAAAGATTATTTAAGATTTATGTAAGGCGGTTTATATTATACAGAAGAAGCTCTGGGAGGAGTTAAATGCTCTTCGCGGGGTTCAATACTATCCCTCACTCCGGACAATCTGACGTTTCTTGACGTGTCGAAGGGGATGTCACTCACACAATAGAATCCCGCTCGAGGGGAATCCATATAAGGCCCCTGGGGGCCACTGCATCCTCAGTGTGGACCACTACTGGAGAAAGTTGCATGACTTGCTTCTGCTGAGACAGTCTGGACTATCGGGAATTGATGTGCTGCTGAGTGTATCGAATAGGAAATATAGCTGAGCTTTGCATACTTTTGTTTTGTTTTGTTGTTTTTTCCGCATCAAAACGTTCGATGAAGCTTGTTGGATCCCAGTCCCAAGACATGGAAGAGCGTCTCTCCCCATCCGCGCGCTTGGTTCGCAGTCCTGGATCCCAAACGAGGATCCACAGCATTGAATCCATTTTGGGATTTAAAGGAGAGAATTTGTTCCACCCGGCGTTTTCCTATGGATCAGGGAAGCCAGGAAAAGACACGGAGCACTTGCTGTCCCCCAAAAAGGACTGTAAGAACTCCAAGAACTTTGAAGGTGAGTAAACGGATGCGTAAAGTTTTATTTTCAGGGTTTAAAACTGGCCATTTTGACAGCACTTTATAGCAAGTTATTAATAATATACATGTAGCATACTACATTTCAAGCATATTTAAATGAGCTATTAATATAAATTGTAAGGTTTGTTGAAAAGTTTTATTGCCTAGATTTAACTTGTAACTGAAATAGACGTTAAAATTGAAAGAAAGAAAGAAAGAAAGAAAGAAAGAAAGAAAGAAAGAA